TTTTTTTTTTGCGGGGGGGTCTGGAGCCGGGGTTGGGGGTGCCCAACCCCGGAACCCCGGAACCCCGCCGGGGCCCCGGGGCCGGGGCTCGACAACCCTGCTTTGAACCTTGGAAACCACTGGGCTTCGGCATGTGTTAGAATAGACGGCTGCAAGTGTGAATTACAGCTTTTAGATTCTCTCCCTCGCGGCGACTGCCTTGCACCGCTAGAAGTAGTAGCCGCATTTTTTAGAATGGAGTTCAGACGTCAAAATTTTCATGAAAGATATCATGTCGACGACCTTGCGACATCTTTCGAGACATCGCTTGATGGGATGCCTGTCCAACATGACGGTTGTAGTTGTGGTGTTTTTATGTTAGGTTTTGCATCTTTGTTAGCGAAAGGTCACTTTCCACCATTCGATTTCTCGCAAGATAACATCACGTGTATGAGACACAGAATAACATTTGACATTTTGTCGATGGTCGAGCATGACTGAACATTCGAGATATGCAGAGTTTGATATCATTCAACACTTTGTTGATGGTTAACCACAGTTTCAAGTGATGTGTCATTCACCACTTTGTTCATAGTTAAGAATAGTCTCAATAGTTTGTATGTGTCATTGAACACTTTCTTGATGGTTAACAATAGTTTCTATAGTTCATATTGCTTTCCACAATACTCAAATGTTATTGTGCAAATGACATATTGCTTTCCGGAATTTCTTAATGTTATTGTGCAAATGACATATTTCTCAATTGTCAATGCTAAGTTTTCACCATTTCGCATTCTTTCATCGCTATTTTCCTCATTTTTTCCTCTCTTATATGTGTTATTTTAGACTTGAAAAAAAAATGAGCATGAAAACAATTTCACTTTTAACGAAAACCCCATTAATCTTTATTGCCTTCAAAAAAGCGTATGACCACGTTGACTGGTTGCTTTTGGACAAGTGTCTAGAAAAGCTTAATTTTGGTCCCGTCTTTAGACGGTGGATAGGCATCCTCCGCCAGAGTGCCACAACAAGGGTGCAGGTCAATGGGAGGTTGTCACCGCCGATACAACTGGAGCGCTCAGTGCGCCAAGGGGACCCGATTGCGCCCTTCCTCTTTGTTATAATTATGGAGGCACTCTCCGCAAATCTGAGAACACATAAGAACATCCACTGAATCCAGGCTACCTCTATCCCGGAGGAGGCAGTCCCGGTCTGCTCGTTGTTTGCGGACGATCTTACGCTTATGGTCGATGCTTCCCCAGAGAACATGATGGAAATTCAACAACTGATGGACCGTTTTTGTGGGCTATCGGACATGAGGGTAAACTGGGGGAACAAAACAGAGGGATGGTGGATTCACTATCAAGGGTGCAGACCCCCAGATGCCCCCCAGATTAGATGGGTACCACTTAACTCCCCTATTAGAGTTCTAGGGGTTCAGATTTCAGCAGAAGGCCGCCCCCCCACGAACGATGAATGGCTAACCTAACCGGTGTTGGAAAAATTGGAGAGGTGGCAGGACAAGCAAACGTCCTTGATGGGCAGAACCCTCGTTATCAATAGTGTGGTGCTGGCGTCCCTCTGGTACAAATCGTCCATTTGGGCGCTCAGTAAAGCACCCTTGCGCCCCCTGCAGAAGCGGATCACGACCTTCCTCTGGAGAGGTGACCACGAGTGTCAAAATGTGATCAGCAGGGTTGCATGGCGAGCACTCATCCAACCAAAGGCGAAAGGGGGACTAGGGATTCTAGACCCTACTACACAGGTTAAGGCACTGGCCCTACAATGGGTCAAGAGTCTGTTGTTCGACATACACGCACCATGGCGGGCCTTGGCCCTACAACAAATTCGGAGGCTGGCCCCCCTTACCCCGGAAGGGACAGATCCAATAGGCTGGTTGGAGGACAGGTATTAGACCATACCAAAGAAATCAGTAAGGTTGGACAGAGAACAGGGATCTGATAGGTCAGCGGCTAGAGGAGACATCAAGAATGACGCATTTTGGCCTACACTTCTTAAGGTATGGCAGGAACTGCTGCTCCCGGACAAGGTCGCACCACAGAGGTGGGAAGAGGTTTACTAGGAGCCGCTATTTGGAAACCGATGGATCACAGACCAAGGTAGGGTTTTTCTTTGCACTGCAACCCCCTGGAAAGGGTGGGTGAATCGGGGGATCCTCAGAGTAGGTGATATTTGGGATCAAGAGGCAAAGGATTGGGTAACAGAGGAAGGGCTTAGGGAGCGATTGTGGTATTGCTACAATGTGAGGGAGACCCTGGAAAAAATCACCTCTGTCATACCTCTGAATTGGATAAGGATATTGAGAAATGGCCCAGTTTTGGCCGAGGGTGATTGGGTTGGGATCCGGGGGTGCGAGGATCGGGTTGGAAGTGTGGTAGTATCTCACCCGAAAAGTCCAGAAAAGGATGTCTTGCTGAGCCTGTTTGACATTAGCAGCAATAACAGATTGGTTAGGACGGCACCAGAAGAAATGAGATGCCTCAAAGGGAACGAGGTGTTCCGGATCAGAGTGCTAAGGGAAAAAGACCGTTGAAGGGCATACAAGCCTGCGGAACCAATTGCACGTCTGGCCTTTGATCCGGCCACCTGGGTCTGGTCAACGGGACTCGGTAGGGGGCAAAAGGGCGGACTGCAACTCGACTTGATGATAGGGAAAGGAGCGTACTGCATGTTGCGGCCAAGGATGAACCTGAAGGACGTTGTGACAGAGCGGTGGATGAGATACCTAAATCTGGACAGAAGTGCCCTGCGCTCGGTCAAATGGTTCAAAATCAGCAAGTCATCGCCAGCCAAGGTGGCCTCACTGCAATGGCACGTGGAACACCGCTGCCTACCAACAAATAACTGGATGATAGACCGCACGTCCCTGGAGCAGGAAGGTCTGGCCCTCCCATGGTGCAAATTCTGTGTAGCATCATTCCCGTCGACGAGATGACCGGAAACAATAGAGCATATTTTTCTCCATTGCCCGGGCTCAATTTGGGTATGGAGATGGTGGGATCGGGTGTGGAGACAAATAGCCACAAACATCCTCTGGCCGTGGGACTGGAAGTCGGTCTTATGTGAAACCTGGCGACTGCAGCGGGCGAGTACGTTCGAAATGAACATGTTTATAATAGGTCGTAGGGCAATCTTCTGGGCAATCTGGTGGAGAAGGTGTATTTTTGAGAGGGAAGGGGTTCGCGTAGAAGGTGCCCACTTTATAGAACCAATCAAACAACAAGTCCAAGCGGACCTCACCATTCAATGGGAAGGGGTTAAGGAAAAAATTGCCTTTTTACACTCAACAAGTGGGCTCGTCGCGGCGACGCCGCAGCAAGGAGAGGCCGTGTGGCGAGAGTATGTGGTGTGACGAAGAGGGAGGCGGGGCCGTTGTTGTTACATTGC